GGGTTGAGGGTTTAGGGTTCAGGATGTATATAGGGTTTTTAGGGGTTTAGGGTTTATAGGGTTTAGGGTTCAGGATGTAGGGCTTTTTGGGGGTTTAGGGTTTATAGGGTTTAGGGTTCGGGATGTAGGGTTTAGGGGCTTAGGGTTTAGGGTTTAGGGTTCGGGATGTAGGGGTTTTAGGGGTTTAGGGTTTAGGGTTCAGGATGTAGGCTTTAGGGCTTAGGGATGTAGACCCCTGATTCGTACAGCCCCTCCCAACTATAGGGGTCAGAAGTGGTAGGAATCGGAACCCTAAACCCTACATTTTAAACCCCTAAACGTAGGGCCCCTGAAGAAAACGGTGTTGATCAATCAAGGGTCCGCACATTGCCTTTGAGTAGTTCGAGTCAGGGTTTGGGGTATGAACCCTGATACAGGGGCCATAATAATTAGAATAGGGTTCCGTTTAAGGTGGTCCTCTAAGAGTGAGTAAGAAGGGTTCTATAAGACGGCGCCTTGATAAATAGAATCGGGCTTTAGGGGCACGTTCTACTAGAGTTATAATAAGGAGCCTCAGAATAAAATTGCTAACTATTTATAGGCCCCTATACTACTATAGTTAATTATAAACAGGAGTCCCAGAATACTGCTGTTAATTATTCATAGGCCCCTATACTACGATGGTTAATTATAATAAGAAACCCCAGAATACTATAGTTAATTATGATAAGGAGCCCCAGAATACCATTGCTAATTATTCATAGGCCCCTATACTACTATAGTTAATTATAGTAAGGAGCCCCAGAATACTATTGACAATTATTCATAGGCCCCAGAATACTATTGACAATTATTCATAGGCCCCTATACAACTATAGTTAATTATAATCAGGAGCCCCCCCAGAATACTGGTTCTATTTATTTAGGGCCCCAAAGTTACGCGCCTTGATGATTTCATCCTGCAGCTGCGTTGCCTTCTCAATCTCCAGGACCATGGCGATCAAAGGGAAATCCTAAAGCCTACAAAGCCCAAAACACCTAAACCCTATGAACCCTAAAAACCCTAAACACCTATGAACCCTGTAAACCCTACACCCTATAAACCCGACAAACCCTATAAACCCTGTACTCCTAAACCCTATAAACCTTAAAACTCCCTAAACCCTATAAACCCTAAACTCCTAAACCCAATAAACCCTAAACTCCTAAACCCTACAAGCCCTCAAACTCCTCAACCCTCAAGCCTTCAGGCTTCTGCAGTGCTGGGTGTTGCTCGCGATTCGGCCCTAAAAAGCTCTGAAGCGCTCTAAGGATCACCTTCAGGTCCTGGGGTTTAAAGTCCGTAGGGTTTATGGTTTAGGGTTTAGCCAAGCTCTGTTTGGGGCGAGGTGCCTGGAACTTTGGGACGATTAAACTCAAACTGCAAGCGAGATCCAAAACCGCGGGCATGTTTCGGTACTCTTACATCAGAACGTCACAAAGAATCTGGGTTCGCGCACGCTTTCAGGGGTCCGCGAGGTAATGTTCCCTCTGCAGAGCCAAACATCAAGTGGACATAACCTACGACTTCAGACCCTACTCAGCTCAAAACACTGATTGAATCGTACATTAGAGCCCGAAGCCCTAAATGCGAAACTGAAACCCTGAAATTCCCAACTCCTCTGATCCTTTTGATCTAATCTCGGAGTCGTGCTATAATTCAATTAATCTACTTCGGAACCCCCATATCTAAACTTCGTAAGCTAGAGCCACTAACCCCGACTTTCTTTCTGGCGTTCAATCCAGTCAACTTCGAAAACTATATAGCCACTAATTAATGAGAAAGAAAGTCGTGATTAGTAATTTACTAATCACGACTTTCTTTCTCACATTCGCTCTATCCCGTAAACTTCCAAAACTAACCCTAACCCCTAAACCCTCGACCCCAAACCCTAAACTCCGAAACCCTAAACCACCCCTGACTTTCTTTCTCACATCCTTCGTAGGCGGTCTGGGCAGGCCCACTTTGGACCCCGCCTGTATCTACTCCGCCACCTGCAAGCACAGGGGTCTGCTTTTGGGAAGCTTTGTAGCGGCTTCGGGTTTGGGGTTTTGGGGTTCAAGGGTTTAGGGTGGTTTAGGGCTTAACCGTTTCGGGCTTACTGATTAGGGTGTAGGGGTTTCGGATTTCGGCAATACAATCGACCAAGGTTCGAATGAAACAGAGGTTGGTGGGATCCGAGTTCAAAAGGCCACGTGGCCAGTCTCTGTTCACACGCACTGCTGTCCAAACCTACTGCCGAAGCATAGGGTGCAAATACCAGCCCAAGCTGAGAAGTTGAGTGCATGGGGCTGGTCAGAATCACCGCACGACAACGATCGCCGTGGTAATTGCTGTAAAACTAACCGTCCTGGTACGAATGCCAAGATAAGTACTCGAGTTTGCTCATGATGTGACTGTTGGTTGATCGTGTTCTTATCAGCGAAATAGTTGCTGTCATTAGGCCTTCCTTCACATGACTAGAGATTAGAGTAGGGCTTGTGGGCTGCATTATAGTCGATTTATAGGTGTATTTAGACTAAGGTGGAATAATGTTACTATGTAAGTATTGGGCTGCTATATGAAAGGCTGATGTCGTCGCATTCAAAATGAGTGGAGCATTTAGTGCTCCTGACAGCGCGAGTGTACCTTGTCCTGCTTGCACAACACCTCAACCGATGCGTTTTGTCTTCGGGGCGCTGCGCCCAAGACAAGTAAACCTTCGTCAAGCATGGTCCAGTCTGCGGTAGGGTTAAGTTCCTCAAACAAGCTGACAAACTAACACCTGCTATAGGCCTAAACCCTAAACCCTAAACCCAAACCCTAAACCCCTAAACCCAAGGCCTTAATGATTAGAATGGGGCTTTGGGGGGTCCTTAGAGGGACAGATACAATTGAGACTCCAGGCTCGTTGCACTCCGGAGGCGCCATTTCACCGCAGGGAGCGCAGGCGCGCCGAACTCAACACCCCTAAACCCTAAATCCTAAATCCTGAGCCTAAATCCCAAATCCTAAGCCCTAAAACTTCTGCAGGTTGCAAGTCAGACACCCGCCCAGAGCGCAGGTCGATTAGGAGTTTTATGGGTGATCACAGGACGTTTAGGGTTTAGGGTTTAGAGTCTTTTTAGAAAGAATGCACTAGCCCCTTTCTCTCGCATGAAGTTTAGAGTTTAGGGTTTAGGGTTTAGGGGTTTAGGGGTTTAGGGTTTAGGGGTTTAGGGTTTAGGGGTTAGGGGTTAGGGTTTAGGAGTCAGGGTCGTGGACAAGTTGCAGCATGCGCCCACATGTGGCACAGGCACAGCTGACGCTGGGTTCTTTCTGTGTTTTTGGAAGTTTCAGCTCGGGCAGGCATTGGGGCAGGCATTTCCCGCCTGCCTCCCAGCAAGAGCCTGTCAGAAACCCATCTGCCGTCAAGAGCATATGCTTTTTGGACAACATGACATTTGTTAAGCCTTCCTCAGTCCAGGTGAAGGCTGTGAGTCTGATATGGCATCTTCCGAAAATTAGGGTACCTTTTTGGGGGGTCCTTATGATAAGGATCCTATGATCTAGGGTACTATCTTAGGGCCCCTTATTTTCGGAAACCCCCATATCCAAGTCCAACTTCTGGACCACCTCTAGCACTCCCGGTCCTAAAACATACCGGATGCCTGCTATGGCTTGCTGCGCCACTTTCTGCCGTTTGAGGGTTCGCCTTCTTCTAGCAGTGCGGCCTTCCACGTCCAAGCCAAGAGATTTGGGGGTTTCCGAAAATAGGGGACCCTAATAGAGTACCCTAAATAGTAGGATCCTTATTCTAAGGACCCGCAAAAAAGGTACCCCTTACTTTCGGAAACTCCCACTTCACTTCAACAACGGCAAGCCGCACCAATCCTCCGAGTACTTCGGATCCAAAGACAAGGTCAACTTGGCCCGATTGCTCTGCTCCTATTCCACCAATCACTTGTGCCTCATACAGCCACAAGTAGGGATACTGCTCCCTGAGCGGCCATGGCATGTCTTGCACCAGCTTTCTAACTAGCTCAAACTCCTTCGGCGACTGAGTCCAGTCTGCCCTTTCTGGATCCGCTCTCTCAGCTTGTCACCAGCAGCACGAAGGTTGGCTCCCGTCGGGTTGGCAGGTCTGTCACCCCACCCATCCATAGGTTCCACGTGAGAAGTCTTTTTCCTCAAAAGTGCGGTCGAACCTCTGCTGCGGCCGCCAGGTGCTGCGCTCTTCGACGAAATGTCTCTCGCATGACTCCGGGTGAAGTCGTCTAACGAGGCGAAGGAGCAACCTGCTCCGCAACATGAGGAAGCGACTGACAACGAAATGTGCAGCTTCACACGCGAGCAGGAAAGCCCTGCGCAATGGCGAAGCATGCACCCTGAAATCTAAACAAACCGCGCCTTCCGAAGCATCCAAAAAACCCCTAGCCCCGAGCCCCACAGATGTCGCCCGACTTAGGAGGAAGCTGAAGAGCGAGGGCTCTCCCTGACCCGGACGAGGTTGACAGTTTTAGTTACCAAGATTTGTTGTTAAGAGTTCCTTAACATGGGACTATACTATAGTATATAGTAGCAGTTACGAAGGTCCCTAGGGTAGGGATCTCGCATTAATTCGCCATGTACTCAAAAACAGAAAACCTTTATTTCTTCACTTGCTGCAGAGTGCTGACACACAAATCCTTCACACTTCGAGTTCCAGATCATTCCAGATCTTCTCTGAAGGTGAGACCTCTGAACACACACACACACACACATCGACCCCAACTACCAATTATGTGCATTTATTCTTTCGCGATCCCTGCTTCAACATTAGCATCGACAGCGCTTGAAGCCACGGCAATTCATTCGGATGAGCTGCTGAAGTCCCTCTGCAAAACAACACGCAGATGCTACCCAGTGCAAAGTCAGCATCTAGGGCTTCGAGTTTGGAGTATGACGGACTATTTTTGAGCGGTTTAGTTCTGGCTGCAGTGGCCGGGCGTAGCCCTAGACCCTAAAACCCACACCTGTATGCCTCGGCATCCATCGACCGCCCGCGTGGGTTCACAACCAGGAGGTCGCCTAGAACAGTCCGGGCTTCAGAGTTTGAAAACGGGAGGTGAAGGGATTGAGGCTGTGGCTGGTGATTTTGGAGCTTTGGGATTTGAGTTTTGGGGGTAGTGGTTTGGAGTTCAGCGAGTGGATTTCGTGTTCAGGATTCCTGAAATCCAACGAACCTCCAAGCTACCGAACCTTGCAGCCACCGGCACAACTCAACGGGCCTCTTGCAAGCGTAACTCGTCCGACCGATTGAATGAAGTTGCAACGAGGATTGCAGGACGACGTCGAAAGACACATGCATCGCACATGGCAGGAACTAATGCAACTCCACGAATCCGATGCCGATGACTCTAAGGACCCTGACAAACGACCACAACATGCCCGAGAGCGATTGGACCCTAAACCCCAACAGACGACAGGCATGCAAGTGATCACCGGCAACTGCTTCAAGACGCAACAACAAAAATGCTCTGTGCTCAGCTTGGTACGCCCCTAGCCCGAAAGGTCGCGCACGCATGCTTTGACGAATCGCTCAAGGATCAGCTTGTGAATCGAGTTCGAGCTGTCTTATGGCTCGGGATGTAAGGTCTCCCCCCAGCCCGCGCCTTCCAGCAGCTGTATCCACAACTTCCGGCTATGATACCAAGCATAGACCTCGAAGACAAATGTGACGTCACGAACACGTTCATTCCTAAAGCCCAAATCTTGGAGCCCTCAACCCGTCTAAGCTCCGGATGGTGGAGTGTGATGTAGAGGCGACAACTTCAGGTTGAGGGCTTCTGCGATATTCTGCAGCTGAAGGGGTAGGGCACAACATACTTACCTGCTTGCTTGCTCACCTACCCGCGAACTTGCTTGCTTGCTTGCTTGCCTGC